CTGCCAAGCCAGAACGCCCCGCTTCCCCCCCGCCCTCAACAGCTCACCAAAACTCCCTAAGTAGCCCTCCAGCTCAAATAATAGCCCATCCCTGTTCTACTTACAACATCTCCCTCCACGACAGCAAAACTCTGTAAGTGGCTCTGCCCTGGGCCCCAGGCCCAAGACCTAACCTTGCACTGTGACCAATGACGATCCTGGCCCTGGGAGTCTCCATGAAAACTGGCCCAGGACCCATGCGGGCAGGGTGTGCTCAGCCAGCTGGGTGAGATGGGGCCACGGGCAGACAAAAAGCTGGGAACAGGACATACCCCATATTGCACATACAGGACCAGCCACATGAACAACAACCTGGGCTGCCCACTGTGCCTAGGTTGGGTGGGGCCAAGGAACCCACTGCAGGCCACATTTTACTCACCCTGAACTAGGAAGTACCACGACAGTTGAAAAGGGGCAACTAAGGGAAGCAAATCTCCTGCATACCAAAGTACCTGCAGACAGTATAGTAACAAGGGTTGGGCAACTGAAGAGGGGAGTGCAGAAAAAAAATGGCTGATGCCATGAGATCAGAAGTTGCTGCTGCCCCTGTGTGTGGCAGCTGCCCTGGGCACCCAGTCAAGTTGTTGTGCCACTGCCTGCAAGTACCTGAACTCCTGCAAACAAAATCCCCAAAAGTACATGCCTATAACACATACTCTTTTTTACTCCGGGGCATTCTATTCCGGGGCATGTCTTTGACCTAGCCAACTCCACTCAAGCAGTGGTGCTCAGGCTTTGGGCCCCACAGGCGAGATGAGCAATGTGGGGACAGTTCACAAGTTGGATCAAGCCCCATGAGGCCTTGGCTGGTCCCGCATGCCAGGATCAGGCCCTGGAGCCAGGCGCTGCACCCTCCTAGCCCAGGATCAGGACCTGGGGCCCTGGGCCACCCCCATGTCCTGGGCTCAGGCCCTGGCAGCCAGCGTTTCCCCTGCCCAGGCACTCAATTCAGTGCGCAGGGCCTTGGGTTCCTCACAGGTCTGGAAATCTGGCACCACAGGAGCGGTGCCATCACCTCCTTGTCACCAAATTTCCAGATTTGTGGGAAGCCCAGCAGGCTGAATGGCACAGCACC